TCTCCATGGGCACAGGGCATGGCTGCTCTCCATGGGCACAGGGCACAGGGCATGGCTGCTCTCCATGGGCACAGGGCGCAGGGCATGGCTGCTCTCCATGGGCACAGGGCACAGGGCATGGCTGCTCTCCATGGGCGCAGGGCACAGGGCATGGCTGCTCTCCATGGGCACAGGGCACAGGGCATGGCTGCTCTCCATGGGTGCAGGGCACAGGGCATGGCTGCTCTCCATGGGCACAGGGCACAGGGCATGGCTGCTCTCCGTGGGTGCAGGGCGCAGGGCATGGCTGCTCTCCATGGGCACAGGGCGCAGGGCATGGCTGCTCTCCATGGGCACAGGGCACAGGGCATGGCTGCTCTCCATGGGCACTGGGCATGGCTGCTCTCCATGGGCACAGGGCATGGCTGCTCTCCATGGGCACAGGGCAGGCTGCTCTCCATGGGCACAGGGTACAGGACATGGCTGCTCTCCGGGGTGCAGGGCACAGGACATGGCTGCTCTCCGGGGTGCAGGGCACAGGGCATGGCTGCTCTCCATGGGCGCAGGGCACAGGGCATGGCTGCTCTCCATGGGCACTGGGCACAGGGCATGGCTGCTCTCTGTGGGTGCAGGGCACAGGGCATGGCTGCTCTCCATGGGCACAGGGCATGGCTGCTCTCCATGGGCACAGGCACAGGGCATGGCTGCTCTCCATGGGCGCAGGGCACAGGGCATGGCTGCTCTCCATGGGCGCAGGGCATGGCTGCTCTCTGTGGGCGCAGGGCGCAGGGCATGGCTGCTCGCTGGGGTGCAGGGCACAGGGCATGGCTGCTCGCTGGGGTGCAGGGCGCAGGGCATGGCTGCTCTCCATGGGCACAGGGCACAGGGCATGGCTGCTCTCCATGGGCACAGGGCATGGCTGCTCTCCATGGGCACAGGGCACAGGACATGGCTGCTCTCCATGGGCACAGGGCATGGCTGCTCTCCATGGGCACAGGGCACAGGACATGGCTGCTCTCCGGGGTGCAGGGCACAGGACATG